CCCGTTCCACGTTTTCACCCACTGGCCACCGCGGCCTTGGTGCAGCCACACAGCAGGCTGCGTGCCAGGCCTGTGCCAGGTGAGTTCAGGGGCCCTGCCCCAACAGCTGCTGCATGCTGTCCCAGTCACTCTGGGCACTCCTAGCATCACGCTCCACGCCCAGTGGTTGTTTTTTGAACAGGGTCTCAGTATGTAGCCAGGCTGGCCCCAAGCTTGTGGAGATCCCCCAGTCTCAGCCTCCTGCGTGCTTCGAGTGCCACCACTCCTGGCTCTGGACTCCCATTTGGGAAGACGTGGGGCTGTGGGTTCAGTGTCCCCAACCGCGTTTGATCTACAGAGCACTGTTAGGGACAGAGCCAATTGCTGCAGTCAATTGCAGGGTCCTAGTTTAAGTGTCATCGCAGGCAGCCTGGGCCTGAGCAAGTGACTGTCCCTGATGGGTCAGCAGCTAGCATCGGGCGACACCCGCACAGCCAGTGGCTGAGGTGACTTCAGGGCACACGGGCGCTCATTGGCTATGCTTAGCCCTGAAGTACTGTGAGAGATTGGGCATCCATCTGTTATTTTATGTTTTTAAACTTTTTTTATTTGCATCACATGTGTAGTTGTGTTTCTCCATCCCCCCCCTTGTTATGGTTTGTGTCTAGTTGTCCCCCCAAAGCCTCAAGCAGTCATGGGGTGGGGACGCTAGAGTTTGAGATTAACTCATGATCCACTGGGATTATGGGTGATCCAAGGCTGGGATTATGGGTTTTAGTACTGCTGGGATTATGGGGGTGTGTACTTCACCCAGCCTGGGGCAGAGAGCCTGCATGCAGTATGAGAAACAAAGACAGACTGTCTTGCCGTTGTTGCTGTTCTGCCACCATGAACTGCTAGCCCCTGCCACGTGCCTCTCTGTCTTGGACCCCGCTGAGTGTGGACTGAAACCTCCAGTAACTGTGAGCTCAGTAAACCTTTCCTTCCTTCATTTCGGGTGTCGGGTATTTGTCCCAGCAATGACAGCAGAGTAACTGAGACAGCCCCCTTGTGTCGACCCCTCCCCCTCCCCATTTACAAAGGCATTGGTTCCATTTCCCCCATCCTTCTGTCCCCTTTTCCCTTCCTCCCCTCCCCACTTTGCTCCCCTTCCCAGCTGAGCAAGTTCTTCCTGCTTCCCAGTATCTGTGGACAGTCTGTGTTTCCAGCGGTTCCCCCTCCCCGCACCCCTGAGGGGTTGGGCGGCCCACTCCTGGCTGAGAGCGGCTAAGCCAGGCTTCCTCGCTGCCTTTTGCATTCCATGCCCCATGTCTTCACAGTCTAAGCCACGCGTCTGACGCGCAGCTGGCGGGGACTGTTCCTCGGGTGTGCATCCTTGCTGCAGAGAAGCAGCACTCTGGGGACTCAGCCTGGAGAGTTCCGTGCTCTGCGGCCTCCCGCGGCCTTCTGTGTTCCTGTGGCGGTGGGGACTGGCCCCGGCCTTGCACACTTCGTGCCCTCTCGTGCAGCGGTGCACAGCTTCAGCCACGTGTCTGGGAAATGCCGCACGACATGGAAAAATCTTCCATCCCTGGAGTCAGCATGCACGGGGGAGCGGAAGTTCTGAAGCCAATGACAGCCTCCAGTCCTGTTCAACGCAACGGGACCCTTCGCTCTCACAGCCACATGTGGCTCAAGAGTCCCCTCTTCAAACCCACAGGCCCCCAGTCAGCCGACCCCGAGCTCTCTCAGCTCCACAGCTAACATTCCCAGGCACGGTCAGCAGTTTCCGGATTTCCTCACTAATCCAAGCTTGCAGGAGGGGTTAAGTGGCTGCTCCTTTGCAAGGAGGAGGTTCTGTCCCTAAAATGGCAACTGGGAAGCCGGTCCCCAGGGGGTCACAACAACCAGACAAAGCCCCAGAGACCTACTTCATGGCTAACAATCACTTTCTTCAAAGCTGTTTTCTTTCCCATCATTCACGCTCTTTCCAAAGGCCTGGCGGCTTCTCCCTCTTGATCCTTGCTCAAGTGACTTGGAAAGCCAGTTTGGTCAATAACCACATAGACTATGGATAAACACAATGTAACCAGCCGGGGATGCTGGAGTTGGGTGCAGGCCACAGCTGCTGCCCTCGTGCATTCTGGGTCATTTCCTGCTGCTGAGAACCGCCTGACAAGGCAGTCCCCAGAGAGCTGACCAGAGGCACTATCAAGATAACTCAATTTCTACTCTAAGCAAGAGGCACCAGCCTTTAAGTACCATGCTCCGGTTGCTACGAAAACCAAACTGTACGTTGCTAACACAGTCTCCATCTTCCACCCCAGCTGGCTAAGGGTAGAGGAAAGGGTCGCAGATGAGACCCAGATGGCTTGGGACTCAGAGGTTAGGCCGGGGCCAGGATGGAGACGGTGTCTAGTTTAACAGAAGGTAAATGTGTGGTTCCAGGCTACCGAATAAGCAGCCATGATGTGCTAAAGCATCATCTGGCTCCATGTCTACCACACATTTTGTCTGTGTATTGAGGGTCTGTGACGCCATTTATGCTGTAGAAAATGGTGGTATTCGGGTTGGCTGGTCCCTTCGGTTATTCTGAAATGTTCCCAGCATACAGAGCTGAACATAACTGATTAGCATAGGCACGTTCCAAATGCAAGGCCCTCTGGCTAGAAGACAGCCTGAGAGGGGCTCTCCTCGCCCGCTCACTGTGGCCTCCAGGTCAAATCTGCAACAGGATGACTGCCTTAAGTGGAAGTGCCATGCCAGGGCACCTGAGGTCCTGTCAGCCATAAGGAAGTGTCCAGGCCTGGGCCAAGGCGGCATCAGCTGCTGGCTGAAAGGAGGAGCCAAGTTCGAGTCCTTCCTTGGCAAAGGGGGAAACTGAGAACCCGAGATCCCAGGTGCTGCTGGTGTTGCTGAGGAGGCCAGGAAGTGAGTGGGCTCAGCTGCGGGAAGCAGGGGTTCCCAGACAGGCTGCAGCTTGCTGAAGCCCTTCTCTGAAAGACTGCTAGGGAAAAGAATACAAGGTAACGATGCTGTGTCCTTGGTCATCCAGAAGCTGGGGAGGCTGTCAATGAGCAGGGATCGAGCCTGGGAAAGCCCACCGGGCAAGAAGTTGCGCAGGGCAAAGCCGCTGGGTGCTTGTGAGTGGGCCTGGGCCTGGGCAAGCAGCCTGTGGGTGTGCGTCCCAAGAGCTGGGATCCCCAGCTTGCACCCACAGCCTCACTACTTGCCTTGTGATGCTGGCTTCAGAAAGGGAGAAGCAAGAGGAAGGGACACTCGAGGTTAGCAACCTCTCCTATGGTTGGGAAGCCTGTGTTTTCAAATGTTTTGTTTGTTTGTTTGTTTTTGTTTTCAGCAGAACCCAGGATTGAACTCAGGCCCTTGCATTCGCCAGAGAAGCACTTATTCCACTGAGCCATCTCCCCAGCTCCCCAAAAATTCTTTCTAACCAGAGCTAACAAGCAAAATTAATTGCTCACATTTCAATTCATTTTTCTTTCCTCAAGCAGAGGGTTTGCAAAGCAATTCTTCAGTTCAGTTAGACAAACAAAAAAGTAAATACAAGAGCTGGGATCCCCAGGCTTGCATGGATGCTGCTCTTGCTTGGAAGAGGAAGGCCTTGCTGGCGCGGCCCCCATTGGGAAGACGGGTGCTTCCAGGCCAGGGCGGCGCTGTCGCTTCCAAGAAGCTGGACTTCTTCCTGCCGCAGAAATCTATACCACTCCCAGGCGGGCGGTGCACCCACGCCTGTAATCCCAGCACTGGGAGGCTGAGGCAGGAAAGCTCACCATATGTTCAAGGCCAGCCTAAGCTATTAGGGAGACCCAAACCAGCACCATCTCAGGCTCCAGGCTCGCCAGGGCCCAGATCAGTCTCAGGCTCCAGTGCGACCCGACAACACCCCGAGTCCCAGATGCTCCAGACTTCACACGCGGCTCCCTCACTTCCAGCCACTGCTAGGTCAGAGCCACACAATCACTCAGCAGCCACACAATCACCCAACCTTTTGGGGCTTTTGTTTGAGGTTTTCTGTTTTTTGTTTGTTTTGTTTTTGTTTTTTTGGTCATTTTGAAACAGGGTCTCACTATGCAGTTCAGGCTGGCCTTAAACTCGCAACGATCCTCCTGCCTCGGCCTCCCAAGTGCTGAGACCTCAGGCGCACCACCACACCCAACCTCGTTTCTTGAGGTTGCCGGCCCCACGGCTGACGACAGATCACCAGCATCAAGATAAGAAATGCCGGCCCAGGAGGAACGAGGGATTGAGAGGGGGTGAGGAATTATCCAACTTTGCAGGGCAGGGGTTCCCTGCGGCTCGGCTTTGGAGGCGCAACTCACAGGCTGCCCTTCACGCCGGTTAAGTAACACGCCGGGTGTCCGAGCTAAGCCAAGAGCACGGGCAGAACTGCCACAGCGCTTCCCCATCTCCCGAGGCTGCCCTACAGGGTACATCTTCTGGAGTAAACTGCAGCAAGCAGCGCGCACGCACAGGGCGGAGCTCCAGGCCGTCTGGGGGTGCCCAGCGCGCCCCCTTCTGGCCAGTGAGGAGCGCCGCGTTCAGGAAAGGGCAGCTCCCGCGCCGCGTCCGTCCGTCCTTCCTCCCCACGAGGGCAGAAGCCTGGCCCTGTCGCCAGTGCCCCAGAGCCAGGTCTGTCTGGGCTCGCATCCCTCCAGGGCTGTGAGGATTACGGTCCCCATTTTCTGGGGAAGGCTCCCGTCCGCCCCTGCGCAGCCTGTGGCCCGCGACTCGCGCTGAGGCGAGGGCGGTTCGCTGGAGGTCGCGCCCGCACCCGCGCTGTCTCCTCTTGGGTCCTCCTCACCCGGCCCTCCCGAATCAGCAGCCACGACGTCCGCGGCCAGGGAGCGCGTGCGCGTGCGCAGTGCGCAGAGCGAGCCCCGCCCTCCCCTGGCCCCGCCCTCCCCTGCCACCCCGCGGGCCCCGCCCTCCCCTGGCCCCGCCCTCCCCTGGCCCCGCCGGGCGCCCCCCGCTGGCCCCGCCCCTCCCCACCCCTGAAATGACAGCCTCGGATTCAATGTCAGTTTATTAGTACAGGAGGGCCCGCCAGAGTGTCCCCCTTGTGACTGAACCATTCTCCGCCATACTGCAACAGAACGGGATGAAAATCCCCTCATGTCAGCTCATACTGATTTCGCTAGTTTTTATTAGAGCATAATAATTAAGACATTAAATTATAAATTTGTGTGGTATAGTTAGAAATTAAATTACAAAATTATACAAATACTTTTAAGATGTGATGTGCCAACAAAGTACATTTTTACCATTCATTAGGGTTCATGTTTCAGAGTAAGCAAAAAATCTGGTTGACTATGATGTGTGTGACAGTGGAAGGACACAGGGAGAGAGAGATGTCTGCATAAGTTAGTGCACAGAAAATTTCTTAAGTCAAAAAAGATAATTAAGTTTTGAGCAGATTAATGTCCTAACTGGTTGGCACCACATACAGAAAATACTTACAACTTTTTAAAGCAAACGGCAGCTTTATAAACAGTAATACTTCTTTATACATATATTAAAGTAACAATGTGTTACGATTTAGCAGTTTTATGTTGAAAATGAACGTAGAGCTCACTGCTCGTCTGCACAGCATAATTCCCAGCCCGCCTACCTCCCCCAACTGATCAAGAAATCAGACAAGTACATTATTTGGATATTAATTTATCAATATTTAAACTATGTGAATTCCTTTTGACTACTTCTTTTCCAAATACTGGAAGCATATAAAATACCATCTCTGCAAAAACGACCTCCAGGCAAAACCTGTAAAAACTTCAATGTATAACACATTATTTTTCTATGTTTAGTCAAAAGAAATATATTACATCATTTATAAACATAGCTAAACCAAAAACTAAGCTAAGAGAACATTTGTCTTTTGAGAAGCAATCTTCAAGGCAAAGAAATCTAGTAAAGCAAAATATCTAATTCAGGGACTGGAACCCATACTGCAAGTCATACACCTGTATGCTGAAAGAGAAACCTAACATTTGTTATTGCCAATAAAACAACTTCTACACACCAAGAAAAAATCGCCATTCATTTTTTGTGCTGATGAACCCTTTGTCTTCCTATTAGATCTCTTTCTAGCCCTCCAACAAGTGAACCACACCTACTTCCAAAAATTAAACTTCCCTAATTCTCACACGTCCCAGAAAGCCCGTAATTTTATATACAGATTCCAAACCTTACCCAATGGAAACAAGTGAGAAAGACATCACGAATGGGCATGTAGGGCATTCTTGGCGAATCTCGAGCTGTCCACCAGAGGACCTGTCAGGAAAGGGCTGTGGTCCCGTAGCTGGCTGGCAGCAGCAGGCTGCCAACGCTGCCCCTGCCGCGGCAGTCAGCTCACCGTGCTCGGGAGCTTTCCTCAACTCCTCTTTTGATACGAATGTCAAAAATCAAAGACAACAATGCTTGTCCAGAAGACAAAACTGCAAGAACCCTATGAAAGCCACTGCCTAAGATCAAGAGTCCTCTGAGTCACTGTCACTGAGCAAAGGAAACTGACACTATAAAAAGTAGGAAAAGTTTTAAAACTCCCTCTCAGGACTGTCAGTAGCTCAAAACCTCTGTCATTTCTTTAAATGCACGGACGCTTCCAAACCTATGGAGACAGTAAGGTCTGCCGCGTCTGAGTCCAGGTCACTGCAGGGGCTTCATTCCTTACCAGCTGTGTGCCTTTCAAGGTGGGTACTTTCTGCGGTGTGGGCGGGCCTGCGGGCCACCGCCCTGTGGGCACCCTAGGCAAGCTGACGAGTGCCCCTCGCCTTCCCACGAATCCTACACTGCCACCCTGAGCCCGGCCTCTCTAGCAGTGATGGGCCAGCATTACAAAGCACAAGGAGCAGCACAGCACCCCAGGGAGTTCAGGCAAGCAGTCCCCGCCTCTGCCTTCCTGCCTCTGGGAGCCAGCTGGGGGAACCTCCCTCCTCGCTGTCTGTGTACAGGAGCCTGGGAGGGCGCTGGTGAGCGTGCCACGCGGCGCGTGCCGTGTGCGTGTGGGGGCCACTGGGGAGGCAGGAGGAGGTGGACGGGAGAGGAAAGTGCATCGCTCTAATTCTCCCCGCACTACTGCACTGGTCAGGACCACGAAGGCCCAGGCGCCGACCAACCAGCAAGCAGATGTTTAGCTCACTGGGCTAAGCTTCTCCAGAACAGTACCCACATTCCTAGAAGGACCAAGATACATAAATGGCTAAAAAATGAATACATGCATATATCTTTCTACTCTAAATCATCTAATAGGTTCAGCACAATTAAAACGACTTTCTCTTTTAAAACCTCATCTTCTAAGCCTTGATCATCAGGATAACCTTAGAAGTTGTGCAAAATTCCTTTCCCTGACTTCCTGTCAGTAACTATGGTCACTGCCGTGTGGAAGGTGCCCAAGGCCAGGCACAAAATGCATATTTTCAAAGAGATGAAGCAGTTTTGCACTCAGGACACGTGTCAATACCCCATCTGATCTGTATCTCGAGCGAGTCCTGAACCGGGCCAGTGAGAACACACCAGGAGCCTACGTAAGTGCTGCCGTCACGCGGCCAGCCGTCACAGTTCCTCACCTGTCTTTATGTAAACAGACTATGTACAAGACCGTTCCTGAGGTAAGCAGAAAGCAAGTCTGAGACTGAACCCAGAGGTCCTCCTGGGTGCCACCCTGCTGACACACACCAGGCTCCTGGTAACCTCCGCCCGCGTAAGCCTGGGAGGCCCTGTCAGCCTCCTCGCGCTTCAAGGAGAATGAGGATCGGTGACTAAACGTGCGCTGTGGCCCACAGGAAGGCAGCATTGGCTTGATTCCTTGTGGGCCTGTGGCCCTCAGCCTCCCACCCAGTCCTTTGAGCCTGTCTCCAGCTCTTTTTGAAAGATGCATGAATGACTCTCTGATCAGACAACTGGAGTGAAGGAACCAGAGTCCTGAAACAAACACTGGCAACTACACTAATCCTCAGAACCTGATCTCTAGCTTTCAAAATGACTTAAACAGGCATTTTAAATTTACTTCCCTTCAAACTTGGTCTTCCTTTTTTAAACATTTTTCATTACAAAAGAAGTTGAAACAGATCTGAATTTCGCAGATTCTTAGACACCCAGATGCAAATTAAAAGCTAAGCTACAGATTGGAGCGAGACAGTTAAGTGCTATAGAAATACCAGCTGGGAGCAGAGGTGTGGCCAAGATGACTTCCGGGCGGTGCGGCCTGTGCCCCAGAGCTGTTGGTTCCTGAGTTACACGTGCTGGGGTGCAGGGCTGGGCTCTGCAGGCTCCTGGCTCGCGGTCCCGCAGCTGCTGGGCTTCTGCAGGTCGGGCGTGGCCTGGTGATCCGGAGTCCAGGCCACAGTGTCCGGCCCAGGCTCCAGCCCCTCAGGCGCCTCCTCGTCCTCATCTGCACTCTGCTCCGCACGGTCCTCCTCGGGCCCCGCTAGGCTCTTCCCCAGCTGCAGGGTTTCCATAGTCCTCTGGGTCTCCGAGACCCAGGACTCAATCCGACTGTTGAGCTGCACCTCCACCGAGATGGGCGCGTGGCTGTAGTCCTCTTCCTCCTCTTCCTCCTCCTCGTCCTCCTCCTCCTCAAGCATGCCAGGTACCAGAGTGCTGGTAGCGCTGGTGATGGACGAGCTGAGCAGGTCCCGGCAGCTGCCATCCAGGGAGCCGGTCTCCGTGCTCTGCTGGGAAGCCCATTCCAGCTCATCCGGCCTCACCTCCTCCTTGTCGCCAGCCCCAGCCTTCCCAGGGCTGGGGGCGGAAGCAGTGTTGCCTGGGGCTGCGGGGCTCAGGGCTGGCCGCTTCCCTGCCGGAGCAGGCACAGGCGGGAACCTGCCTGGCCTCTCGGAAGCACACTGCTGACCACAGGCCTCCCTCTCGTTTTCTGATGCCTCCAGCCCATCCGAGGTCTCCACCATGTTTCTCCAATTGGTTTCTACAAATAGCAAACAGATTTTTACAAACTAGAGTATGGTTTCAGAATCACAGAATTTAAAAGCCCAAAAGTAAGGTGGGAGAATAAGACCCAGAAATGGTTGGCTTGACAAATGGTAGGAAAAATTACAATTTTAGATTATTCTTATACTAGTTTAAATGTCATGAAGGGAAGAAAATCCTCCAAAATGTGCATTTAAAACCAAGACACAAGGAGACAAACGTGAATGCATCAGAAAGTGGAAGCTCTTCCCCACGAGCACTCGCGTTCAGCGAGCTGTTGCGGACTTCCTGGTGCCCGGGTTTGAGCCCGACGACTGCAGCTCACACGGCACAGCCAGGGCGCCCAGCAGGATCAGCTCTGCCTGCCTGTGTCACAGCACGTTGGTCGGCAGGACACCCGGCCCTGAGTCACTTCACAGCAGCATGTGCAAACATGTTTCTAACCTTGTACATGGTGACTGAAATACATGCAGCATAGCTTACTGACTGAGGAGGACCAAAAGGACTAAGCGACACAGTGGTGACAAAACTGGTGTAAAGCAAAAACAGGTACTGGGAATCAGGAGATGAAACAGCTCTGCTACCCAGTTTTGGTTTTGTAAATATAGCTGTATTACCGCGATTGCTCGCACATTCACAGGCACCACGCTCTCAACAGGCTGTATGGGCGCAACTCGTGCATCCGGGGCCACACTCGGCCTGGTGGCTCAAGGCACGTCAAGGCAAGTGAGGGTCTGAAGAGACAGAGTCCCCCACCCCCACCCCAGGCAGAGCGGTCCTGCCTGTGTATCTGAGCAGAAGCGCCTGCTCTTCTCAGCCCATGCAGTCACAGCTCCGCACTGCATGCCTGGTCACTCCTGGCCCCAACTACACCGCTGCCGCTGCCTGGAGCCCTCCCCATCTTGCCACGCTGCACAGCGGTTCTGGGAGCTGATCACATCACGGTCCACCCGCTTCCCTCAGCCTAGCCAGGGTCCACACTCCTCAGCTGGGCACAGCCAGCCCGCCCTGAGCCCATCAGCACTGCCCCGCACATCACTACGCTCACTGCACCTCAGCACATGCCATCTTGATGCTGGCCTACCTGAGACATCCGTCCCCTGTTGCCCCCTCCAGCTGTCCTCAGAGCCACCCCCCACAATGGGACAGCGTCCACGTGGGCCTCAGTTGGCTCATCTCTGACCCCACGTTTGCCCTGCAGTAACGGCTTCAGGAAAAGGCAGTAAGTAAAATGCTCTAGTTTTTAATTATGAAAAAAAACTTTTAAGGCCTTAAGGATTTAGATGCACATTTCTATTTCCTTCCAACGCTTTCCTCCTAAAGCCATCTGAAGTCCTGAGGTGATTAATCCTGCAGCAGTCCCCTGGCAGGTCATGCAAACCATCAGCCTCTGAGAATTTTCCATGCCAGTCTCTGGAGCTGCTTCCCACGTGCTTTTGCTCTGTGTGTCCCACCTGACAATTGCTTACCACTGTCATCTGCTCATGCCCCTAGCTTTGCCTGACTTTCTCTTTTTTCAGTAGGCCTCTCTTGTTCTGAGACACTGATGCCCTATTACTAAGCTGTCCAGGCTGGGCCTGAACCTACGATCCTCCACCTCAGCCCATAGCTCTGCACAATGACCCTGCAGACTGGTTCTGCCACCTGGCACTTCACTGCACAGCAAGGCAGTGAACATAGTCCGCGCCTCCTCCTTCCCTCTTGCTTTCCCCTTGGCAGGGCTCAAGGAAAAGCAGCGCTTCCACCTGCCCGCAGCCAGGGATAGCTGCCTGGGGTGAGGCCTCGCAGGCTGCAGCTGCCGGCCACCTCTAGTCTGCAGTGGGGCAGGAGTTCCCTGAGCTCACTGTGTGAGCTGAGTTCCAAATGTGCTAATCTGTAATGAACATCTTCAATGGAATTCTTTAAGCCAAGATTTTGAGCAAATTTTGAATGATTAAAAAAAATAAGGATAAAAGCTGGGCGTGGAGGCCAAGCTGGGTGGATGGGTGAGAGCTCAAGGCCAGCCGGGGCAACAGAGTGAGACCCTGTCTCAAAAATGAAAAGCAGCCAAAGAAGAATAAACAAAAGCAAAAGGTAAGAGTGAAAAGTTATCTACAAAAGGTTTTAATCACTTTAATTACTTCTGTTTCAGCCATTTAAAATGTGACCAGCCAGGCGCAGGGGCACACATTTGTCATCCCAGCTCCTTGGTAGGCTTTGAGGCCAGCCTGGACAGCTCAGGAGGAGCCTGTCTCAAAATAAAGAACAAAAAGGGCTGGGGATAGGCCAGGACCACAAAACACAACAGGAAAAGGGCTGCAACACCCACCGTACTCCTTCTCGTTGACCTCAGAGATGGGCTCGGAAATCACGCTGCAGAAGGAGATGGCGCTGGCCGCGGACGGGTTCCGGGAGTGGCCCATGTGGTGCGGCACCTTCTTCACGTTCCTCAAGGCCTCCTCGGCCTGCTCCTGCTCCATGGCTGCGACCATGTCTTTGTAAGCCTTTCGGGCCTCCTCTGTGAGCTCCACCAGCTTATGAAAGAGGCTCTGTGCAGAAATGAGGATTTGCATTAGCCCGTTTTCAAAACTGCTTTTTATTCCTGTTTTTAACAAGGAATACTTCCACTGTTTCAAAATTTGAATGCAAACCACAGAAATTTACAAAATACTCTTATTGTCTGATTTTCCCCAGCCCGAGAACAGCTCTTGATGCTAACTGCAGCCACTGTGTGTGCTATACTGAGAGTTCATTGGCCAGAGGAAAATACAGAGCTTAATCACTGGAAGCTCTACCCATAGTGCAGCACAGATTGGTGCGAATAAGTAACACCAGAGAAATGGTCAGTGCGAGGCCATATCTGCATTTAACAGAACGGTGACATTTCAGTGTTAATGCTGCGCTTCACTAACTATGCCTAAGGACATCCGAGAGAAATCCGACTTCCAGTGCATCCATTTACTCCTACTCCAAGCTTTAATTTAATCCCACAGTAAAACACAATGTGAGAGAAAGACGTTCAACTGATAAATGTAGCTAAATCTTATATATAAAAACGTGCCATCAGGGCTGGCAAGATAGCTCAGCAGTCTAAAGTGCCTGCTTAGGCAAGCGCGCAGGGTCATGGTTCAATCCCTGGCACCACGTGGCACACCAGCCCCATCCCAGGGCGGGCTGAGTTGGCCACAAAAAATAAAATACATAAATAAATAAACAAATACGTGCCTTCAGACAAGGGCAGGCAAGACAGCAACTCCTACCTTCTCATCAACACACTGCTCTTTAAGTGCAAACCTTAACAAGATGCAAATGAACTCAAGAAGGAAACATGCACGTGACACGCCTCGCCCAGCTGCACAGTCACCTGTCTGCAGGAGCAGGTATAGTAAGCATGTTCTGAAGGGGTGGATACTAACAACCAGCAGGGTAAAGAACACACCCAGGATGGGCCCTGGAGTTACATGACAAGTACTTATAGGGATCAATAAACTGCACATTTAAATGCAACCAATAAAAAGAAAACAGGTACACATATATAATTTTGAGATTAACACTGGATTTATAACATAAATAAAATATAAATTGTTAGGAATAAAAGAATGTAAGACAAAAAAATTTTAAAATGCCTCAGGCAGGCATGGGACAGGGAATTTTAAAGTTTGAGATTAACTCATGATCCACTGGGATTACTGGTATTAGTACTACTGGGATTATGGGTATGAATGCTATACCCAGCCTGGGGCGGATAGCCTGGATGTAATGTAAGAGAGAGAGACACAGATTTCCTCTGTTGTCCTTGTTGCCACTGCTCCTCCATTTTGCTCTCTGCCATGTGCCGCTCTGCCATGGACCCAGCTGAGTATGGACTGAAACCTCCAGTAACTGAGAGCTAAATAAACCTTTCCTTCCTTCATTCTGAGTGTCAGGTATTTGTCCCAGCAATGAGAGAAGATAACTGAGACACTAGGATCAGGGAATGAAAACCCTCAAATGTGAGGATCAGGACTGGGAGCCTACAGCAAAGGTGAGCTTTAGCAGATGGTAAAAAAAAACTGAGGCACACTATTTCATTAAGAATGGAGCTATCGGGGCTGGTGAGATGGCTCAGTGGTCTAAAGCACCTACTTAGAACAAGCTTAGCAAAGCACAGGGACCGCAGTTCAATCCCCCAGCACCACAT